GGGAAGGAAAGGCTCCTGCCACAGTGCACTTCCTCCTTGGCAGACACTGCACACACTCTCCAGAGAATAAACCTTCAGCTAAATGGAGAAAAGGCAATTTATAATTTTTGTGATTTGTTTGTCCTAAACCTTTCATTCAAAAAAAAATATCCTTGAAGTTTTTGACCTTCAAGTGACTTTTTCTGTTATTTTTTCACATTATAAATTGTTCTTTGTTCTTATTTCTCAGGCTTATTTTATAATATTTGTTTCTCCTTTAAAAGTAAATTAAACATCATCAAGCTGATGAATTCATTACTCAGAACACTTACTTTCCCCTTGAGCAGAATAAACTGAGCTGCTAACGTAAAACAAGTGTTGCTTAATTTCATAAGAAGCTCACGTCTCCTTGAATGTATATGACAGACTGTTATAATTATCTATATGCAACCTAAAAACATCATTTACCATTTAAGGAATTAGTAGCCTATAGATATGTAGATGATATAAGAAGTGTTATATCATGTTATTTTGCTCTTATCATTGTCCTTTGAAATTTTTGGGTCCCTCTGACAATACTGTAACAGTGATTCTATCTGGGAGAATCAAAAATACTTAATTGAAAGCAGGTCATTTTTAAAAGAAGTGAACATTTGTAATATTCTCAAGTATTTTTCAAATTGCACACAAATTTAGGTCTGGAATATTCTGTAATGATTGCCTAGTTTTCTTTCATGAAGTGTTCAAGTGAAGTTCAAACATATAAGGGTAGTTATAAAGTGCATAAAACAGTATTTTGTCTCTCTGTCCACAACTGTAGACACTTGACCCTCACTCAGCCCTGCTCCAGGCTTAAGATTAAGTATGTCCTTACAAGAGAAAGTTTATTGTAATAGACCTTTGTCATGTAGTTAACTGATGCTTCCAGTCCTGCCTTGAATTCACCGTACAGGAATACGTCCTACCTCCAGTATAGTTGCTAGGTCATCGCCCAGGAAATGGTAACTTAAACACCTGCCTACTACCGTAAGTACAGTTCTTGAATTCAAATTCAGTAACAAAGTATGCATCTGTGTCACATAATGCTGAATGCTCCTGGAATGAGTTTTCAAGACTTGCCTACTCACAGCTTTCTGTCAGTTTTTCAGGATCACCCCTTATAGTGAGCTACTACCCAGCCTGGGACCATAGGCTCCAGGAGCTACCCTGCCTCCAGCACTATAGACTTCCTCTCTGTACTTTTGCATGACATTGTCTACCACTCCATATTCCCATATTCCAGGCCCATACTGATCAATACATTTCTAGTTAAACGGTGATTTAATTTAAGCTACTATTTATAAAATTCTATATTTCTTTGTCATAAGATACTGCTACTTTATTCCATTTCTTACTTTGAACAGCTTTATTTATTTCCCAAAGACCAAAGTTAAGTTGATCTATGATATAGAAGAAAATAGAAGGGAAGGAGATATTGCTTAGTGGCATAAGTAACTGCCTGGCAAGCTCAAGGTCCTAAGTTCAATTCCTGATACCAAAACAAAAAAATAAAATAAAATAAAATGATAAGATGCATTAAAAAAAGAAAATGATATTTAATTATAATTTTGTACTTCTTATTCAAACACTAACAGTATCTCATAAGTTTGATAGAGTATGTGCTATCATTTTCCAAAAAAAATTAACTCATAGCTTTACATCAAACTGTTTTCACATCAAACCTTCTTTCATACAAAAACTAACTATAGAATTTAGTACGAAGTTGTTGTGTTTAGTTCCAAAGCATGGGCAGTGATAACTGTACCTTGATTACCAAATATGAACTAATATTTTTCCTGCAGCTGCAATAGTTGTTTTCTGTACTTAAGATTAATATTTTTCAATGACTAGAGAGACCTTGGGAACCCCAAAAAATACTGTTTTCTGTAATGTCTCCTAAAATAATGATGAAGATGTTTTCCTATCTTTCTATTCTCTACATGAAACATCTTCAGTGCACACAGAATTGTAATAAGCAAGTATCAAGAGCTTCTTTGGCCTCATACTTTCCATAAAATCATTAGATGTCATCTTAGATTTTCAACAAATGCTGACTTCTTGCCCTGAAAGCTAAAGTGAGTATGAAAAACATTTGTAATATCCATTTACCAGCTTATGATTTTCTGAGAAGTCAAGATGGTACTCAGAGCATGAAAAACAGAAAATGTCTGAACAGAATGCTATCCATTAAAAGTTACAAAAAGAACAAGAAAAGCATAGCCGAACACCAACAGGCCTTAATATGAAAAATAAATGTAATGTGCCCCCCCTTTAAAAAATCCAAGATTCCAACCTTTTACTACAAGTTTTATAATGACATGAACTATCACCTATAATCAGTAATAAACAAACAATTTGTCCTCTAAAACTAGCTATTATACAATGCAAAGAAGTTTGCTCATGGCAAGATTGTTATGAAAAGCTAATGTTTTCCAAGTGCTCACTAATAATATCACTTCTTGCAATACAAAGGAACAAAGCTCACACAATATCAAAAACTTATACTATGAAAGAGTTTTCATATAAGTGTACAAGGAGGCAGGACAACAAGAGAATGAGATGTGCACGTGATTTCATAACAGTACATATTGTCGGGTGCAACTCTTAGTTTTAATCCTACACATAGTGAAGAGAAAATGATAATAAAGGTGATGTTAAGAGTCATCCAGGCAGCAACAATTGTTAAAAATTCAGAAAATGATGGGTTCTTTATAGGATCTACATAAAAGAAAGAAGATATTTTAGACTAGAGATCCACAAAAGTAGAGTCCAGGATGTAAAGAAATATAGTTTAGTGGCTCGCGAACATAGGACCTTGATTCAATCTTCTGCATGTGGATAGCCAGTGTTTCCAACACCATTTATTAAAGAAGCTATCCTTCCTCTAATGTATGTTTTTGGTCCCTTAGTCAAAGGTCAAATATTGAATATGCTTGGAGTTGTTTCTATATCCTCTCTTCTGTTCCAGTGATTCTCATGTCTCTTTTTATGCCAGTACCATTTTCTTTTTATCACTGTAGCTTTAGAATATAACTTCAAGCCTTGGATTGCAATGACTCCCACTTCGATCTTGTAACCTGTGACTGCTTTTGCTTCCTGCACCACCTCCACAAAAGAAGTGTGGACATTCCATACTACAAAAGATACTAATAAAAACATAAATAAAATAAAGTATATGTATAATATCTACCAAAATAAACCACTGCATTTGTTTACTGGAAATATTTAAGATGATAGTTTTAATAGAGTAATGTGGTGACATACTATATACAGTTCTAGCATCATACAGATTACTGGTTTTATTTGAATATCATTCATATATCCCTAATACTATTATGTATAGGGTGAACACAATTGACTATTCTTGTATATATTTTTAGGTCTGTGTCCATATTATAATATAAAATGTGCATAAAACATGAGCATGATGCTTCATAAACATCCACACAGTGAACACACCCATGTAACTTGTACTCTGGCCCCTAAATCCCAACCCCCTCTAGCTACATTCTATGTGAAAATTATCAATTAAATATCTTCTTAACTCAGACCAGAAAATATAGTAAGTACATTTTGCCTATATGAGTTTTGACTGTAAATGTTAATCTTGCACTTTGGATCAGAAATGTGTGCCAAAAGGTTCATGTGTGTGAGGCAGGGCCTTTGGAAGGTAATCAGATCATGTAGACACGAACTTCATCAGGAATGGGTCATTAGGATGAGAGTCCTCTCTGGAGGAAGTAGCTCTCTGGGGAAATGGGTCTCGGGCTCCTTCTTGCTTCCTGTTTTCTGTCTGCCCTGAGGTGAGAAACTGTCCTCCGCCAGACCCTTCCACCACAGTGTCTCTTTTTGGAGCCAGAAAAATGTAGATGAAGGCTTCTAAAATGAGCAGCCAAAACAACCTTTTTCTTCATTACATTGTTGTGTCAGGTATTTTGTCCCAGTAATGAAAAGAAAACTAAAGAGTTAATAAGCGGATAAAAGGAAGGAAATGAAACCAGTTTACTAAATAATTATAAATTCTAAATCATAATGAACATAAAATGGGAGAATATAATAGAACTAAAAAGACACAACCTACTTCTCAAGAATCATTTTATAACCTTGAACTATCCAATACTCATTGAGATCAGAATTAAGTAACCAGCACCTAGAAAAACACCAATTTATGGGACTAACTTGAAGTATAGATTTAAAAGAGAAAATTCAGAAACAAAGGCTGATGGCATATTATACATAGTTATATTTAAAATTTTTGATTTGACTCTCTGGGATTTCATAACATGATTTAATAGACTCCAAAATGCCCTTAAACCTCCAATCTCTTCTACAGCCTGCCTTACAGCCACTGGGGCCCTTTCTCACCTCTCTACTTCCTGTGGAGATCCCATCTTTCACACACGAAATAATACAGGACAATCAATGCACTCCTGCTCAGACTTCTACCCCATCCCATCAAATAACCTTCCTTTCTTATATTCAACTCCTGTCTCTCATTTGCATTATTCTAATGGCTTTTAGACATGTATAATTTCCTTTACATCTTAAGAAATTACAATCATTCTCTTGGCTCTCATATCTTCCCCCTTATCTTTTTTTCCCTCTTCACTACTTAACAGTGAATTTGAGAAAAAGTGTCTATAGTTCTTACCTTCATTTCATCACTTTTTGTTCAACCCATTTCAGCTTGGGTTCTTCCCTTATCACTTGAGAAGCTTTCTAGCAATCCATTACTGGCAGTCAGGTGGCTAAAACTGACACCTTGTCTGGTCTTCACTTTGCATATAATTTTTACCAATGAAACATTCCCTGAATTTTAAGTCAGTGTCCTAAATTGGTGTCCAAATAGCTGTAATTCAACATTAATTTATTAGTGTGACAAATATTATCTATCAGTAATCAAAGCTTCAGTCTTAATTTTAACTTTTCCCTTAGAAAAAAATGAGTTAGGTTAAAAGGACAGTATCTATCTCTAAGGAAAAGTGCTCTCTTTGCAGCACATATACTAAAATTAGAATAATACAGAGAAGTTAGCATGGCCCCTGCATAAGGATGCCACGCAAATTCATGAAGTATTCTAAGGAAAAGATAGTGGAGTAGAGGAGAATTTGAGAAGAACATTAGCAGTCCCTGAAGTGCTTGGATTTCCTCACTGAAGAAGACGAAAAGCTGGGCTAGAAGTATAATTCAGTGGCAAAGCATTTGCCTCACATGTGTGAAGTCTTGGATTTCATTCCCAGCACTGAAGAACATAAAAGAACAGAAAGCACTCAAAGGTTCTGCACCTGGGATGACAAGTTCAGATTTTCGAAAGGATCACTGTGACTATAAAACAAACAATGGAGTAAAATGAAGCCATGGTGGAGGCAGCAAGGGCTGAAGGGAGGCAGCTGAAAGAAGGAGACAAGGTGACTGCACTTGGATTAAGAAAGAAGCTGTGGAGGTGATGAGAGCTGACCCAGAGTCTAGATTTCTTTCTCAAGATAAAAGCTAGAAAACTTTATAAGGGATTGCATGGCTGTAGTGTGTGAGAAGAAGTCACCGAGATGGCAAGAGTTTTGACTTGGCAGAACGGCATCACCAGTAGCTATGATATCAGAGACTTCGGCACAAGCAAGGTTCTGAGTATGGACAGTGGAGATGGAGAATTCATTGAGATATTGTCATGCCCACAGGAAAGGCAAGATGAAATGTGACGTAGGTGACCAGTTGTCCTGAGTCTCATGTTACAAGAGAGTTCTTGACAGCATTTAAACTTGAGAGTCAACAGAAAAAGATGGTACAGTATTTAAATCATAAATCTGGACATGATCACTGAAAAAGTGGGTTAAACACAAGAAAAGCAAATTATACACTGCTTCCACATTCAGAGATGCAGGAGAAAAGAAGGAAGGTAATAGCATTTATAAAATCCTTCAGTATAGAAGGAAAATAACAAGCATCCTGTCTTGGCACTTGATAATGACAAGTGTTTCAAGAAAGAGCTTAATAAATGTTTGTTATTGCTATTATAGTTATCCAAACACAGACAAGAATTAAAAATACAGATGACCCAGGCCTACCATGCTGGCCCTGCCCCCGGGGCATGCTGACATGGCAACTGAGACGGGGCATGGTGGCAGTAATCCCCGCTCTTGGGAGGCTGTAAACAGGCAGATCACTATGAGTCCGATCTAATAGTGAGACCCTGAACACCCTGTAGACCCTTCCCTAAAATACAAAACAATAAAAAATAAATAAATAAATAAAAATACAGATTAATAGTCTCCCTTTCTAAGAACTATTTGGGCAGAAGATCATTTAACCAGGAATTCAGTACACATTGGTTTTTGGAAAGGTGGGAAGAGAGAAAAAAGAAAAACTTTATTTGAAGGTATCGATGTAAATTTTATAGTCTTCGTTAAGGCTGTCAGAAATCCATAGGGAAGAGGAGATGGCTCAGTAGGATAAGCGCTTGCCTGGCAAGCGGAAGGGTCTGAGTTCAATCCCCAGTTCCACCAAAAAAAAAAAAAAAAAAAAAAAAAAAGACTTTGTTCTAGAAATCCATACGGAAGGCAGTCAGGAGAAGATCACACGGTAGGTTGGAACCTAGTGACACAGGCTGGAGCTGTCACCCGCAGCCAGTATTTCTTTGCTTCTTCCCTTGTCATTCATTTTCCTCCATCAGTGATGCTTTAGATCCCCCAGCTACCTCAGCCCAGTCTACCTTTCCTTTCCGTACAGTCACCTGATTAAAGGTTTTAATTATATCTGCAAAATCCTTTCCAAGCAAAAGCTGGATTAGTGTTTTATTGAATAAATGGGACATAACCACACCAAGTTGACACAACAAAAAATCTACGCACGCAAAGGAAATCTTCCAGAATTTATTTTGCCTTATTTTAGTTAGGCTAAGAAATATAGCCCTTCCTTGATATTTTTTCAAAAGTGCTTATGGTTTTGCTAAGCTACAGTTCCGCTATTGCAAAAGCTTGACTCTATCATAAACACTTTTTCTGTGTCCTCTTTCTTTATATTCCAAACACAGTTAAATTTCTTATAGAAAGACATGATTAATAACCTGAAAACACTAATTAATCTCTCTTTCCTCAAAGTTCATGTCCTGTTTTTTCTCATCTTTCTTTCCAGAGAAGCTATTTCTTTTTTCATCCTTTTTTTTTTAAATGATCTGTTCCAAAAATATGACATTACTATTTTAAAATCTCATGCTTTTTTTTTCCATCCCTGTGGCAGACAGTATAACCTGAAAGATTCTCCCAGTGAAAACAATGAAAATTCTTGGCAAAATATAAAATACCTCTTTTTAAATGCATTGCTTTTATGGCATGAAAATAGAGAAACCACAGAAGAAAATATAACATTCCTTAAGGTACTCCAGCAGATAATCAAATGTCAAATCTAATATTCTCCCTAAAGTTTTCTGCCAAGGCTCTGAGACTCGGCATACACTGAGCTTATGGCCTTCTTCAAAGAGGACATTTTAGAAGATTGCCCAATACAAACTCGAACCTCAAAAGGCTACATACATTTACAAAATAGATCAGGGCTAAAATTAAACCTGCTCAAAAATTAGACAATATGGAAATTTACCAATCCTATCTTTTTACTAGATGGATGTTATGAGTTGTGTCTAGTTGTCCCCCACAAAGCTTCATGCAATCATGGGGTGGACTTCTATAATTTCTGATTAACTCATGATCCACTGGAATTATGAGTGTGAGTGCTGCTGGGATTATGAGTTTGAGTACTACACCCAGCTTAGGGCAGATAGCCTGAATCCAACTTAAGGGAGACAGACTTCCTCTCTGTGGCCATTGTTGCCTCTACTCCTCCCATTTGCTCATGATGTTTTGCAGTATTCTGCCGCCATGAACTGCTGCCCTCTGCCATGTGCCAGTCTGCCTTGGAGCCAGCCTTGTATGGACTGAAACCTCCAGTAACTGTGAGATAAGTAAACCTTTCTTTCCTTCATTTTGGGTGTCGGGGATTTGTCCCAGCAACAAGAGAAGAGTAACTGAGACAACGGGCAATTCTTTTTTAATTTCTAAACTATCAATAGATTTAAGTATATTTTTAATGTGAATATATAATAATTCTTCTAGAGAAAAAATACAACCCTGATATGGACAACTCAGAATGCCTCTGGGTAGGCAGTGAGTCCAGGAGACTGCCAACGCTAAGAGAATCTACAGCAGACTGCCTCTTAATTTCAATTGTGTCCATAAGGGAAAAGTCTATTGTCAGAAACAAAACCCACATGGCAACAAGATACTTGAAGAAGAGCCAGCAGAGACAACAGAAAAGCAGGGTTTTTTTTTAAAAGATATTTTAGAATTATCACAAAACAAATATAACTTGTTTTTAAACTTACCTCAAAAACAAAATAGGATCTTACATTATAAAATTCAAAAAGTGTCAAATCAGATTGATAAGGAAGCCAAGTAAAAGTTCTGGAGACAGGAAAATATTACATTCAAAATTAGTAGGTCAATGAGGAATAAAGAGAAGAAGATGGTGCATGAATGACTGAAACCACAGCTCAGGAAAACAGAAAAATTGAAAAATTATTACATTAATGAAGAATATGATGGAGAAAAAGACAAAAGCACAATACCAAAGAAATAATATCTCAGAATCCTTCAAAACACATTGAACAATAATCTTTAGATCTATGACGTGACCAAAATATATGACAGATGTTTAATTTTTTTAAAAGGTCTGTGACAATAAAACACACATTGTCATGAAACCTTTGAACACGCTTGACTTCTGTTCCTTGCCACTGTCCGAAGCAGTTCCAGAAGTCCTTCTCCATGAGTGTCTAATGAGGTGTGAGGCCAGCCAGTTAGCTCAGGACTAAAGCGCCTGCGTAGGCAGATGCAGGGGCCGGGGTTCGATCCCTCACATGCCCTGTCGGCCCTGCCCGTGGGGCGTGCTGGGACGACTGAGACTGGGCGTGGTGGCGCATGCCTTTAATCCCAGTGTTTGGGAGGCTGAAAACAAGGGCTAGATATGAGTCCAATCTGTGCAGTGAGACCCTGGTAGCCCCCGTACTAAATACATTAAAAAAAAAAAAAAAAAAAAAAAAAAAAGCAGCGCTGCTGCCAGCTGCCATCCCATGGACAGGCAGATGTAAAAACATCACCGAGCATCCTCCACCCCTTCCTCCCAGATGTGGCACTGTGAGACTGCTGGCTCATCCCTGATGTCAAAATGACCATGAAAGGTAAATGTTTTAGCTAAACCTGGCCCTATTTCTGTGTGTTGATAAATGCCTAGCTGGCCAAGTTATGTCTTTATCCCCTCAACTGGCTTTAAGCAGTGCAAGTGGACCTAGTTGAGGTGCTGACTTGTAGTCTTAACAGCAACACACCACAGGTCAGTGATGCCGCTTCCAAGTAGAATGTGTGAGCCACGCTGGGCGACGAGTCAGCCGCTAGAAAACACGGTGTGACTGCTCGGGTCATGGATTGTCAACACTGCCTTAACCTGTGCTATGCACATTATTCTCCCTGCATAATATTCTCTCTCTCTCTCTCTCTCTCTCTCTCTCTCTCTCTCTCTCTCTCTCTCTGCACATATCAGGCCTCCTACCTAGCCCAGCTCACAGCACTCATGTACCTCCCAATTTTGTTTCTTTTTCCTTATCTTTTATTTGTTTGTTTATTTATTTGGTACAGGGTCTCTCTACTCAGCTCAGACTCATAATGATCCTCCTGTCTCAGCCTCCCCGACACTGGGATTACAGGTGTGTGCCATCACATCCAGTTTTGGTGGCTGGCAGGATCGAACCCAGGGCCTTACACTTGCTAGGCAGGCACTTAGCCCACCGAACTATCTCCCCAGCCCCTATCTTTCACCTTTCTCTTAGTCCCTCATTCCCAGCTACTACCCTCTTCACCAATTAATAAAAACCAGATTTGATCTTGGGTTGAGGCCTTAGTTCCAATTGCCCTCATACTAGCTGGCCCCTGTCTCCCCCCAACTACAAATATGCCTAAATGTCTTTATTCTCACCATGTGCTGCACTGGCAGTGGTAGATTGGAATGAATTTATTAGAAACCCAATAACTTTTCCATGGGATTA